AGCTTTTTCTTGCTGTACTTACTAAACTTAAAAGGAAAAAAGGCAACTTCTGTTTCTGAATAGAAATGGGTGGATTATTAACAGCTCATTGGCCGCTCTCACCACTGATTTGGGACAGACACTGAAGTACCGTAAAACTGAAGTTTGCTGTATATATGTAACAGAAAATACAAAGAAATCCTCTCCTTTGACATATTCTTGCATGTTAATTCCAAGCCTTGAAAATTCAAACACATATTCTCTCTTCTCTGAATTACTGGTTAGTATCTGTTGCAATGGCTTTGCACAGCAACCTTATTCTTGTCTTCCAAAATAAAAAAGTGTAAGAGTAAAAAAATTCAAATAAGGAGAAAGAGCAATTCTAAAAAAATCTATAATGAAGTGTACTAATTTACCTAATTAGCACCACATGAAGAAAATCAATGGTTTTTTCATGAGCTAATATTTAAATTACAAAACGTCTCATATGATTTCTTGTCACACAGCAGTGTCTCCAACAATGTTTATGTTCTAAATTCTCTGCCAGTGTTCTAATCTACTTCTGTACTTGCTGCAAATTTGAATCTTTAAAGTGATTTCAAAATATTATTTTAAGCTCAAGAGCTGCTAACAATATTTCATCATGAGACATGCTGTTTGAATGCTATCTGTGCTGCAGGGTACAATGAATCAAAATATTTTTCAGAGCATCTTTCCACTGCCTCTTCACTGTTATTTTCACATGACTAATCCCATATTCATGTTCTCACTAACATTCATGAGAACACTAATAAAATATCTTGGGCTTGTATTAAAAACAAACAACAATGTATACCTCTTATTTAAATCATGACTACAGTATGCCAGCATGTGGTGAGAGCAGGTGCTAGAATAGCTCAAAGTCATTCTACAGAAAGCAAGGAAAACAAATTAGTTCAGAGATTTAATCTTATTTAATAAATGAAATAACTTAATGCCATGAAAAACAAAATTAAAACACATTATTACATTCCATGAAGGAATGGCAAGAACAACTCTAAGCATCTCCACACTAAATAGTGTTCACATAAGGCACTAAACATTAAGAGGCTTGTCCAAACTCTAATGTATAAACTTTCCTTCCATAAGATCTCATACATGTGTACTGCCAATGACAGCAAGCAGTTGGTGTTCTTGGTACTGTCTGCAGAGCTGAATCTTAGTTGTATGAGCCCAGAGTCAGCCAACTGTTCTAGAAACAAACCGTTGCTTGAATTACAGGACATCATCTACTTACTTCTGATTACAGGTTTGCAACACACGGTTAATGTATTTCAAAACTAATTCATTTTCAATCTTTCCAACTTTCATTCTTTCATTAAGCTAAATTTCCACTTTTACTTTTGATACTTTCATCAGATGCTCTATATGATGAAATTACTATTAAGGCTATGGATATGAGTAACCACCAGTATCTTTAAATAAGGTTCTCAACATCCACCAAACAAAAAAACACCTTCCAAATAATCAGATTGATGTCATCTGGCTTTATATTTTTGTCATCCTAAAACTCAAACCCAAAGATGCTGGATTATTTATACTCAAAACCCACATTTTCTGCAGCATAATTGCTAAAGTGATCTGGTGCCACATAAGATATTATGGTCCTGTTTAATTCAATGGCAAACTTCCTATTTCAGTATATGAGAATTTGCCAGCTGTTAACTACCAGTGGGATAAAAGGTATGTCTTTGTCTCTTTCCTATACAAGATTAGCATCTTAGAGAAGTGCTTTTGCCAATGGAAAAGTCTCTCCAAAGTTAGCAGTTCTGCTGCCCAAAGGTCTAACTGCTCAGCCAAGAAGAAAATATTTAGGAAAAATACTTAGAGGAGCAAGTCATTCTGTGCATAGCTCAGGACTACACAGCCTACAGACTTGGTTAGAGAGTCTGAACATACATTGTAATACGTACCTTTTGCTTCAAACTGTAAGGAAATACACTAGATATTTACTAGAGTAAACATACAAATCAATTAATATATTGTGAATATACTAATAGCAATTGTTCAGGCAGGTTAATACCAAAACTGGGCTGCTTCCCTTCCAAAACTATTTTCCTAGGAAAAAGTAACAGTTCACTGAAAATAGCATGGGCCACTAGATGCACAAGAAACCTGTGATGAGGTAGGTGTGGTAGATCCTGTAAAATGTCAGTTGTAAAGGTACATGAAATAGGCTGTTTCAGTGGTTGTTCAAACACATCTCTATCATATTCATCATCATCTCTAAAACTATATTTTCTATGAGGTCACAGGTTTTGCTACAACGAGCAATGGATTATGCCTCAGAACCTTGCAAAAGCAGCGTGGAGAAGCTTTCAGATGTTTGGAGAACGCAGATGAACGTGAAACTCAGTAAGAAGCATAACATATTTACCTGCTTTTTCCAGCACCTCCAGACTGTACAGAAATCTCAAACACCTCCCAGTGAAAAACCACTTTCCTGGCTGCTGGTTTGCTTAGTATCTTTGACAAAGCAGTGAAGATGTACAGAGCAGTGTAAAAATTGTTTAATGAAATCACATGGAACTCAGATGGTCTCCTGAAGAGACAAGAACAACTCAGAGTCCCAGAACCATTGGCTGACATCTTTAAAAAAAATACATAAAAATTAAGTGACCTTGAGCTGATTTGTGATTTTGCAATGAAGAAACTATGAAATGTAAAAAGCAAAGGGAAAAACAAACCCAGCTAAAGTTATATTCCTTACAACCATAAGAATGCTGCTTACAAGCAACTCTGATGGCTGCAGTTGGACTACATCAGAACAATGACCTAAACCTCAGTTTTGCAAAGTATTTCAGTACATACTTAAGGAAATTGCTGCTGGGTTGTTGTTGTTGTTGTTGTTTTTTTTCACTACTGCAGCTTACAGAAAAGTTTAAAACTATTTACCAGTTTTATGATTCAAGACTTATGCCTACTAATATTGACAAACCAGTAAACATCAGACGTGAGCATTCAAGCTTCCCTGCTGTACCGGGGTTAACTGTTCTACAAAGCCCTCAGTGGCTAAATTTTAAATGCTGTGACATCAGTGAGAAATTTGTGTCCACTAATGGACAAGAAAAAAAAACAAAAACAATTTCCCAATTACCATTTAGCTTGTACACTGCACTGCTTGGCAAAACTTTTTCTAGTTTCAGTGTTTTGATCTGCTGGAACACGCTCATTCCTGTCCTGGAGCAACTACACCTGCCTCAATAAGCCAAGTTCATAGTGTTACAGCATAAGCAGAGAGGCTAGAGGCCTTCTAGATGGAACAGCCTCAGGAATTCAGAACAGTGGAAGGAGTTGGTAAATTTAGCAGAGTAGGTCTGTACCAACAGCTTTAAAATGAAACATATGTAATGAATAAAAAAGGAGAAAAAAGTTGATGGCATAAACAAAGAGCTCAGGGGAGCATAGCATGGGAAAGAAAAACCTCGCAACTTTCCCATACATGCCAACAGTCTTGATTATTTTTAAGCAAACGTTACTATTTCTCTGTCCTGCCAATTCCAAAAATGTACTTGCGGCTCAGAACATTTTAACATAGCTAAGTGACCTTTTCCGTCTGCTGTTTTCATATACTGACATGTAAATCTGATGGTAAATTATATTCAGTTTCATAACTTTATAGATTAGTAGTGCAGTGACTTTCATCAACGTGCTAAGCCCACTCTCATCCATTTGCTAGTAAACATACAGTACGTATAGAAGCTCCTCAGACAGAATAATTGTTTACCTCCCTCATCAAATGAGTTAGTGTTGATGGATATTACAAACTGTCCATTAGAAAAACTAACACTGGTGTACACATGTTATCTGTATCGAAAATACATTTGAATAAAATAAAGACAAATCAGAACTGATGATGAGTTCACCACAGAAGTGGTCCCGAACTTTTGATATTTGTGGGCTTACAGTTTATATTATTTCTTCCCTTTTGAAGAGTCCGGTTTTCTGCAAAATGATGGAGATGACATTACAGTACACTCTGTCCCCACCATAAACTCCCATCTACATGCAGATGTTTCTGTAAAACCAGTTACTGCTCCAACAGAAACCAAAAGAAGGCAAGATTCAATAATGAGCGCTCTCCTTTCTTGGACTTGAGCAAATTGTGTGATACTGAGATGGTTAACAGACGGAAGTGAGAAACAGTGGCTGTCAGAGTACAGGGATTTTAAACTTCCAGTACATCTGGATAGCTCCAGTGATAAAAACACTGAGCTAGCAACCAAGGCCTCCTGTATTATCATTTCTGTTATTTACTCTGATAATTCTTTTCCCTCCAGATCACTCCGCAAAATTGGCTCCTGAACAGAAGCACACACGTAAACAAAGACCTTTGTAACCTGGAAATGAGTTTTTAAACAGGAAATGTCGCAGTTCACAAAGGCATACAAGACATAATTTCTTATTTGCAGCATGCTATGCATCTCAAAAATATATCTCCAGAAGCTACGATGTTGATGTAAATATTTCAGGATCCTCTATAGTTTTGAATTAAGGGCCTTTAGAATAAATAACTGTATCACTGATCTGTATTCTGAGAATACCATCGACAATACCATTTATCTTGATGCAATTTTGGTATAATTTTCACATTAAAAGAGCTGACATTCTTAAGCAATCAGAAGATGTTTTTTTTTTTCTTCTCTAGAAAGCTTAACATACTTTACGTAAGTAGGTATGCCTCAGTGCTGGACTCTTGTACATACAGGCTAGGTTAACAATGCGGAGAGTGTAAGCATAACAGTGGATTAACTGCTGGGAAACACCAAAGTCACGTCACGCAGAAGGGAAACAGACAGTAACACATCTACAGTGTCTGTCCTGCAAGATCAAGCCAGAATTACACACTGTCAGTTAGTTCTGAGCAAAATGCCTGTCTTTTCATTTTCTGACGTCTATTTCACAGTCCTTAGATGGCACTCCACGCAGTTACACTAGCACACAAGAGATACACTAGAGATATTCACTGAGATACAACTTACCCAAATAGTTGTTGCTCTTTGACATCTCAGTAATGTTAATTTTAGTAGCTCCTTCAGGAATTTCCACTATCTTGTGATAGCCGAGATTTGTTAGTGTGTGTTTGAAAACTCCAGAAACAACCTTGCAAGCAGTGTTGTCCCCTCCGCATATTCCACACTTGTCAATCACCTTGTCTGAACCCAGATAGTCGTCACAGCCAATGCTCTGCAAAATAAAATAAGATTTCTGCTTCCAACATCTTACAACTGCAGACATCAAACATAACAACTGAAGACAGCATGACTTTCAAAGAACACTAAGTACTGAAAGCATTTTTCATGTTGTTACTTCAGCAGTTTCTGCCCTTGTTCTTCTGACTTGGGAAATTCAAGTTAGCCTTCAGCTTTTTACGCTACGTAACCAAAAATACAAGAACACGCTAAAGATCACTGATCATCTTTGCTGATCGCACCGTCACACCAAGAACTTCCTACCAATGCAGCTTCTGCAGCTGCTAGTTGGGAAAGAAATCTAACAGAGCTGCGACTCTGTTAGGATCCAGTAGATCTACTTTTTACACAAGTAGACCTGTGTTACATATAACGTTGCCTTAAATTCCACAAAAATATTAGTACTGAGACTATTCTTGGCAACTTAGGTTGCTAAGAAGACTTTATACTGTGCCAAGACAGTATGGAAACTGCCTACCCATTCACTGAGTAAAGAGTGGCACAATCTAATGTTCAACAAACCCAGTAACAACTAAAAAATTCTCATTAAATAATGTAAATTAAAGGCTATTAAAAAAAATTGAACTTATACTTTAAAAATATACATATTGTAGAGATGAGCTCCTCTTATGTAGAAATATTTCTATTCATTATATTGCTGTTTTGTATTTAAAAACTTTAAAAATCTTTTACCATGTACACTTATCATCTGCCTGCATGATTAATCATCTATTGGAAACGATGGGTTGGGGCACGTGTGCAAAGAACTTCTCTTGTCCATTCATATAAGAATGAAAAGACTCATGAGCTGGTAGAATATAAGCCTATCACTTCCATTTACATGAAATTTAATAACTTGATGGAAAACATTCAATAACTGATTGCTCTATTATTTCGAATTCCCAAATACTTGCAAATATTTGTTAAAATAAAAACAGGTTCATCATTGTTCTATGGTCTTTCCTGTAAGCAAACAGCCAAGTAAAGAAGGAGAAGAAAAAGAGATTTTTGATACCACCAACATAGGGAGTTTCTCGAGCCTTGAGATCGTGGTATTTCTTTCCAATTCCCAACTCTAACGCTTGGCCCTTGCTGCGAGAAATGTTCTAAACTCAAAGCCAAAGTCTGCTTACTTCCAACATAAATATTTAACACCCAACACGTTTTTTATGACTGTCCAAGAAATACAGATAAAGCCATCTAAGTCATCACTGCCAGGATCACATGGAGCTTGACAATTATGCTTGTCGTGAAGCAAGAGTTAGAAGATGATTCCCAAGCATGGTGTTTCATGGCAGGATAACCTGATAAGCAAGTGCCTAATTTATCCTATTAAATCTACTGTGAGCAATTGCTGCGTGATTTCAAAGAGATTTTGAATTTAGAGAGAAACATCTGGTTTAGCATCTTGCATTTGCCTAGCACAGCAAAAATAATAAGATCACATATGAGTGTAATTTCTGTGCTTTGCCTCAAAATGCATTTTACTTACTAACAAAGCAATACGTTTAAACACAGAAATTACCACTGTAACTATACCAAATCATGCAATATAATTTCAGACTTGCTAAAACAACTCAAAAAATGTGATTTTTTAAAGATTTAATTGAAGATTGCCGTGCCCAATAACTGGTTAACATCCACACTCGTTTTCTTGCTATTTTATTGAGAATACAAATACTTTCTCCACTACACAGGCTTTGGATGGAAATGTAATAAAGCATCAACCTATGCTATCCAGTGACTTTCAGGAAACTTCCACTGCCAGCAAGTTGTTTTATGGAGGAAATCCCTTCAAATATGAGGTGCTATTCCATATGAATTGCTAGCATAAATGTTTAATGGTATTCTGCATCACTACTGAGTCCCATAAAGGTTAATATAATTTTCTTCCTTTTAGCAAATAAAAGAGAATAGAGAAATACGTGTGATATTCATTGAGAGCATAATGCAGAACTACCATGGGGCACCAAGAACAGAACTATTTTTGACAGAAACAACACAACCACTCAGTACAAATGTGATTCTTCCTAGGGAATAAATATCAAACCCATTTCAAACTCACACAGCATTCTAAGTTAAGCATTAATGGATGTACAAAACAGCTGCCATTCTTCACTGTACAACTTGGAATTGTTGCCATGCAGCACAAACAAATGCTCTTTCAGAGAAAATGACTGATGAAGATACAAAGAATGAATTAGTGGAAACAAGAACCTAATAATTTGAAGCCAGTAACTGACAATGAAGAAACAAATACTGAATCACTATTAACAAAGATATAAATACACCATATGCAAAATGCAGAGTGCACTCAGATACACATTTTACATACCAACAGACACGATATCCAAGAGTAAACCACAGTTTTACAATGAAAAACCAAAAAAACTAGCGAGATGGCCCACTGAGATTTCTGTGGAAATTATGTGCTTTAAAGTATTGCACAGGTTTCTGAAGAACTGGCCAGTAAAAACTGATACATTCTGGAAAACCTTGAGATTCACTCAATACAGTTTAGGCAGGCATATAAAAATGACTGTGTACCATCTTCTAGTCACAGATCTGGCAAGGATATGTACAGCAAGTCGTGTCCCACACGTTCTATGGGAATCTCCCACTCTAACTGTAAAGGACCATAGATTTCTATCAATCACAGGTCAAAAGATACTGCATTAGACACCTGCCACTGGTCCAGAGTACATCCTGGGCCTTGGTTCACAGTTAATGCTGGTAAGATGAAGAAATACCTTTCTGGATAGCTGATTCTGTCTTTCTGCTTCTAAACAGACTCTTGAAGCTATCTGGGGATTTGGAATGGTAGCAGTCATCCTCTCAAAACAAGGGTAGTAAACAGGATTAAACTAAATAAACCTAAAATGTAGAATTCATGCAACTGTACTGAATAGATAATGTTTGTTTGTCCTGACTGCAAATTAAAGAAATATCACCTTACTATTTGGCAAGCATACGATCATATAAAAAGACAAACCAGCTCAACATGTACACTCTCTCAGGTTGTGGTATTTGTTACACTGAAACGCACATATATGCAACAAAGACTTTGTTCAAGAATTACAGCCAACAGTATGACAGCATTAATTTAAATAATAACTATTGAGAGAAACAAGAGGCAATCTGGATGAAATATTCAGTGGTGGACTTAACAGGGATTTAAGGCTATATGTACGTTTAGGACAACGCAATGGGGCTGGTGCCAGGCATTTGAAAACATGAAATGCTGATTCTCGTAATGGAAAACAGATGTTGTAATTTCAGTTCTAAATGGTTGTACTAAAATTGCAATCTACATGGTAAAGTGACAAAAATAATACAACATGACAATAACTTACTTCTATTGTTTGAGCTGCCTTAGATAATCAGGTCAGAAAGCTACAGTTGTGCATGTCTAGCATGTCAATACCATCAACTTCAAAGCATAACTACACTGATAATTCATTGGCTGCAAGTAGTAATTACTTAAGCAGTTCGGAGCTCAGGCATCCAGGGGCTAAAAGGCAGAAGAATAAAATGTATATTAGAAGTTATATTTAAAAATAAGTGAAAAAAAATCTAAGAAAATGGTCAGGGAGAGTTACAGATTTATCACTGCTTCTCCAGCTGCTAAAGAAATGTCTGATAGTATATGGCAACGTGAGAAGAGTAATCCAGCAACATGTATACATAAAAGCTAACAAACTGGGAAGCAGCAAAGTACAGAGTATTGGTGAGAGACTTGCTTGAACAGTACACAATTAATTCCAGTTCTACAAATTAAGGAGGCTACTGCTGATTACAGCTTGTATGTTACTGTGTTAGGAAGCTTAGGCTTCACGAGAGCCATCATATTTGCCACTCAGCTTGAGCAATACTGCATCTCCCCCAGCTTGGTGACACTGAGCTGTCAAAAAAAATGAATTCTTCCAATCGTAATATGAAATAAACAGAAGTACTGAAATTAATTATTACCACTGTGGTGATTTCTGGGAGTTAACTACAAAAATGATTCCATGTATAGAATTAACTCAGAAAAAAACAGATGACCTTTTAAGGCTAAGATCTTTACAAGGACTCTCAGCATTTCACAAATTTTTTATTTAGCTTACATTAGTATTGATGTAATGAAATTGAGACATTGCCATTATTTTGCTTTTTGTGGTTTTTGTGCTTCTTAGGCCCATGAAGAGAGTTCAATCTTTAAGAAATCCTGTGTTTCGTTTCAGAAATGATTCATGTGCTAGATTCCACAGCTGCTGCTTATTCAGTGATTATTATCTGTTGCCACTGAGATTAAGTCTAACAAACAGCACTGAACAGCAATTCCTAAACAAGTGTAGTATCTGGGTATGACTCCGTTTTCACTCTTCTTTTTCCTTCTCCTACAAATTATTCCTTTCCCATCAGTCTCCAAGATGGTTCACAGGGTTATTTTTTGCTAGTACAGAACAAGAAATATGGTGTATCGTTCAGCCCTTGGTCTATTGTTATTTTATTCTATCAAATGAAGCATTTAGAGAAGAGCCTTATACACTATCATATAACAATTTTTCACATGAAATTAAGCTAGAAATTACTACTGCACTTTTTGAGTTCTAATTGTTGCATGGCACTAAATAATAACCCAGTGCTTTGCTTACACCCGCTGCAATTCAGAAGTTGTCAGAGAAAGCCAAATTCCAGTGAACCACAGCTATGTCAGTAGACACTCCCTCTGCTGAGCTTTTTGCTATTGGTTTTCCTCTCGAGCAAGACCTTCAGGGCCCCTACTCCTAATCAATCTATGCCTAATCAAAGTCCAAAGGAAAAAAAACATTTCTACACATCTAGTCCCTCCTTCTAAAAGAAATGAAATTAACTATGGACTTTGAGAACAATGAAAGAGAAATTTAAGTGTAAAACAGAAGGAAGCATTACAAATGCTAGTAAAATTAGTTTAATTTGGCTTTTCTCTAACCTCTAAAAATTTTCCCAAACTTGCTCATTCAGATCTATCAA